GAGAATATACAAGAAGAAACTCCAAAAAAGAGAACTGAAAGGGGGGGGGAAACATGGCTGATGGGCAGAGGGAATTAAAAATTGAACTAGAAGGGGAAAAGAAGAAAGATTGGGGAAATTTAGAAAGGGAAAACCTAGCCAACATTAAAAGGAATGTTAAAGTCACGAGATTTTGAGATAAGGGTTAGGGATTGTATAAGGGGGAATATGTGTATGTGTGTGTGTGTGTGTGTGTCTATCTATATATATATATATTCTTAAGTTTTCGCGGGTATTTATATGTATGGTATTCAGCTTTGTTCGGGTATTTTCCCACGTCATTATAGTTGTGCTTTTAAAGTTGTAGCAACATTTCGGCAGAATCTCATCTGCCATCATCAGGCTTCTGTATAGTGTTCGTCTGTGAGTTATTTGGCCACATGCAAAAGAAAACCTAAACAATTTCCTAACACACCTAAACAACACACACCCCAAAATCAAATTCACCATGGAAATGGAAACAAACAAACAACTACCATTCCTAGATGTACTAATCTACAAAAAAACAGAGGGCACACTAGAGCACACCATATACCAGAAGAAAACACACAACAACCGCTACCTCAACGCCCAATCCCACCACCACCCAGCATAGATAAACTCCGTGGCCAAAACACTAATTGCCAGAACCAAACGCCTGGCAGACAAGACATACATAAAGACTGAACTATGCACCCTGACTAAAGTACTGACAGCCAACAGCTTCCACAAAAGCAAAATCACCGGCTTGATCCACAAAAACACACTGAGACATAATGGAGACTTAGAAGATGAACAGACCTATTGAACAGCTGTCCTGCCCTACATAAGAGGTACGACAGACAAAATCAGTAAGATACTACACAGGCATCACATCAAGACTGCCTTCAAAACAGACAGAAAAATAGCAGCCATCCTCAGAAACCCCAAAGATAAAATTGACCTGGAAAACCAAGGCATACACGAAGTCCCCTGTGCATCATGCCCTGCCACATACATTGGACAGACCAATAGAAGAATAAGTACCCGCCTGGATGAACACAAAAATGCAGTAAAAAAGCTGGAACACACTTCCTCATGAGTCCAATACATGAAAGCAACAGGTCATAGCATTGACTTCAATGGCACCCAAACCCTAGCCACTATAGAAAACCCCAGCCACAGAATTATCAGAGAAGCCATAGAGATTGAAAAAAGACCTGAAATCATGAATAGAAGAGATGACTCCACCAGACTGTCAATTATTTGGAAGCCTGCACTCTCAAACAAAAAAATCTCCATATCACAAGCCAGGCAAACACCTGGGCACAAACAGACTCCCCCTGATACCTCCAGCTCAAGCACACCCCAACCAGGCACCCAGATGAAACCTAGCTTCCTAATAAATGATAGCCATCTGTTTACTCAGAGCCAAGCCACACTAAAAGCCTCCAATATAGGAAGACAATGTTGCCAGCCAATCAAGACAAAAAAAGCCACAAAAAAGACAGAAAATATTAGAAACACCAATCAAGCAGAACACAGCAAACTCCAAGACCAATAAACATAGACCAAGACTCCCAACCAATCAGGATGAAGAAAAAACCATTCTGGCACAGCAGTAGGCTAGCCCCAAATTTAAAACTGAAACAACTGTAAAAGTCTGACTCACAGACGAACACAATATAGAAGCCTGATGATGGCAGATGAGATTCTGCCGAAACGTTGCTACAACTTTAAAAGCACAACTATAATGATGTGGGAAATACCCGAACAAAGCTGAATACCATATATATATCTGTGTATGAATTATGCTGTTAGGAACTCTTATATTGGAGGAATAAAACAGGGGAATGGAAATGTATTAAAATATATAGAAAAATTTTGGATAAGTGGTAAGGAAGAAAAAATATGATTATTAATGATTATAAGAAAAGTGAAATGTATTAAAATATATAAATTTTGGCTAAGTAGAAAAGGAAAAATATGATTATTAAGAACTAAAAGAAAAGTTAAGATGAAATGAGATATACTAGGAAGTCATTCTAGCAATTTAAGGGGGATACCTTAAAATATACATCTTAAAATATACAGTTGATTACTTAGTGTTAATATGCTTAAAGTTGGGAAATGAATTATTAAATTAGATAGATTGAGGTGATATTATATAAGATTGGGGGAAATGAAAGTATGATTATGTAAAAGTGTTATAATCTGGAACCACGTTACTCACGTAAAGAGATGTGTAAAAATTAAAAAATTAAAAACTTTTTGAAAAAAAAAGAAGAATATAGCAATAGCACTTAGACTTATATAATGCTTCATAGTCCTTTACATCCCTCTCTAAGAGGTTTACAGTATCAGCTTATTGTCTACAACAACCTGGCTCCTCATTTAACTGACCTGGAAAGGTTGGAAGGTTGAGTCAACCTCGAACTGGTCAGTATTGAACTGCAGGCTGTGGGCAGTGAATTAGTCTCCAATACTGCATTCTAACCACTCCACCACCATGGCTCACTTAACAAATGTCAACATAAATTTTGGACTCGACTGTAGTTGTAAGAAGCTTTATAAAAGGGAAGAGTCATTACAAAAGTGATAACATAGAGGTTGTGTTTATGTAAAGGTAAGCATACAAGGGTAAAATAACTGCAATTTGAAGAAGGGTTTTCATGTAAATACCTTAACTTTAAGAAAACCGGTACTTCAGAGTCAGGATCAAACTCCTGGCAGTGAGCATAATTAGCCTGCAATACAACATTCTAACCACTGTGCCACCACGGCTCTTGACATTGCAATGCTTCCTTTTCTTCAGCTACTCACCAAAATAACCTTGTCAATCTCCTTTGGTGGACACCAATGAAACATTCCCGTGGAGTCGTATTTTTTCACGTTGCAATCCATGTTGTCAACTTGTTCATTGCCAGGGATTAATAAAGGATCATGTCTGAGCAAGAAAATGCACTGGGATTAATAATCAGCCAAATTCATCACAAAGAGTAAAACATGAACTACGCTTGGCCATGCCCACATTCAAGAAACAAGGAAAATGTGAGACTAGTCTTAGTGTTGCTTGCTTGTTTTGATGAATAGGAACAATTGCAGTTGGTTTTCTTTTATCTTAAAATACATATCCCTTCCCCCCCCCCCAAGTAATCTTTACAACAGTTTATAGTAGCATCTTCAAGGGGAGGGGAAAGAATTAGAAACTAATACCCCATCCTGATCAATCACCATAAGGTGGGCGGGGGGATAAACTCAATATTTTGCTTTTGTTACATATAATATCTAATGTGACTCTGTTGAAACTTTAATAGGCTGTACATTAAATATTTTAAAATTTGCTCAGTTATATTTTGGATCCTCAACCTGAAGCTTTCAATTCCATCATTTATAGCAAACCGACTACCAAGATCCATATCCAGAATACATGCTTTTTCAGAGATGTTTTCATTTTTTCTGAAAGTTGATACTCAAATGCAACAGATCTAGTCAAGGCCTTATGCAAACTGAGTGTGCATTCTAGAGCAGAAATCAGTCGTATTATTCTTCAAATGCTGTGTGGTTCCAGAGAAAGATTCCAAAAAGTATGTACAGGTTTTAGAGTTCAGGGTTGTTGGTTGTGGTTTTTCTTTCTTTTTTCTTTTTAGCAAGTATGAATGCAAAAGCCATTTCTGAAATTGAACAGTTAAAAGGCTACTGGATGAGTGCCCTCATATCAACCTTGTATTAGAAGAGCTGCTGCAATTCCTTTCTCCTGTCATCATTACCCTGATCTGCATGGATATTGGTCCAGAAGTTAGTTAGCCAAATGATGACAGAATACAAGGGGAATTCATTAAATGTGCAGATGACACTAAAATGGCAGGAACAGCCAAACCCCCCAGAACATGGGCTCAAGATCCAAATGGATCTGAACAAACTTGAACACTGGGCCCTATCTAACAAAATGAAATTCAGCATAGGAAAAAGTAAGGTTTTAGACTTAGGCAAGAAAAACCAAGTGTTCAGGTGCAGATTAAGCGAAACCTGGCTCAGTAGCAGTAATTGTGAGAGGGATTTAACAGATTAACAGAGTTGGAAGGGACCTTGTAGATCATCTAATCTACCCCCCACCCAAGCAGGAGACCCTACACCATTTCAGACAAATGGCAGTCCAGTCTCTTCTTGAAAGCTTCCAGTGATGAAGCTCCCACAACTTCCAAAGGCAACTTCTGTTCCATGGGTTGATTGTTCTCACTGTCAGAAAATTCCTCCTTATTTTCAGGTTGAATCTCTCCTTGGTCAGTTTTCATCCATTATTCCTTGTCTGGCCTTCAGGTGCCTTGGAAAATAGCTTGACCCCCCTCCTCCTCTCTGTGGCAGCTCCTCAAATATTGGACGACTGCTATCATGTCTCCCCTGCTTTTTCTCTTCACTAGACTTGGATATTGAAGTCCTAGTAGGGTGGGGCAGCAGCCAAAAAAGCCAACACAATCCTACATTGCATTAACAGAGGGATAGAATCAAGATCACATGAAGTATTAGTACCACTTTATAAAGCCTTACTAAGACCACACTTACAATACTGCAACCAGTTTTGGTCCCCATGTTATATATATATAAAAAGATGTAGAGACTCTGGAAAGAGTGCAGAGAAGGGGAGTTAAGATGATTAGGGGGCTGGAGGCTAAAACATGAAGAACACTTGCAGAAATTGGACATCCATTTGTCTGAAATGCTAGTGGGTCTCTGTGCAGAGGATTGGACTAGAAGACCTCCAAGGTCCCTTACAACTCTGTTATTCTGTTAAATATTTTGAAATTAACTGCCTCTAGATCCAGAATAGAGATTATTTCTATGCAGAGGCCTTTTCCGCTTTTCTAAAGACATTTAACAAACAAACAAAAAAGGGGGGGAGTAAGGTTCTATTTGTTTAGAATAAATAGTGCATTAAAAAAAACATTGAAAGGAAGAGAGTGCTAACTTTCCATGCGTTGCAACATCCTCAGGTTTGTACAAAGAAATTGTCATGCCCCTGTTGGAGTCTGACTCCAAGGGAGAGGAGGAACAGCTGTGGGCTGCAGCTGTGAGAACTGGTTAAAAGGACGGACATGCGTATGGGCCAGTGCTGGAAACAAAGCATGGAAATATCTCTAGTCTGTCATTCCTCTCTGAGTTTGGCATCCTTCCCAGTGTGTGTTCAGATATCTGTGGATGTCTTCAAGCCCCTATCTTGCCTGGTTCCCTTAATTGCTTCAGTGTGGTTTGTGTTGTTTTTACTCTTTATAATTTATAGGCATTTTTAGTTTAAACGGCCTTTCCTCCTTTTTGTAACTGCTTGTGGGGGAGTTTTTTTGTCTCTAGTCAAGGATATTTGGAGCTTTGAAGCAAAGTGATGGAATAAAGGGGGCTTCACCTGTTTTTGTGACTGCGTTTATTTTGTATCCCACCCTGGGTCATCACAGAAATAAACCCAAAGCAATGGAATGCTTGCATTTTAGAAAATCGACCAAGGGACTCTTCTCTTATCTATATCTCCAAATATATTCACCGCTCCTCTGTACGTCTACCCAAAATTATGCACACTGAAGTTCAGGCACAGAAGAAAGTAAAAATGTTCTGAGTTTTCCAGAGCAGATAATGCTGCTCGTGATCAATGAAGCTCAAGAGCCACACTAAACGCAATGCTATAACTCATAGAAAGACTGCCTCAAGCAAAAGCACAAATTCCTTTTCCAGCAAAACTTGCTGCGGGAGAGCTTATATTATACTTTAAAGAGCAACAGCCTCTTCGCAGCCCTTTTAAAATTCCCTCAATGAATTCAAATGGGCATTTTTGAGAGCCACTTCTCAGCCAACCAGAACTGGAAGGGGGAAAAAAAATCAAGACAAAAAGTTCCCTTCCCTCAAAAGTAAATACATTTTTTTCCTTAGTTCATTCTGTCTATGGAGATTCTCAGTCATCCAGGTCATGGTTGCCCCAAAGGTGCTTTTTTTTCAGGAGGCAAGTGGACTTTCTTGGTTTTCTTCTGAAGATGTTTCGCTTCTCATCCAAGGAGCTTCTTCAGCTCTGACTGGATGGTGGGGAATGGAAGGATTTATACTCCCTGCAGACAGCTGGTCATTTGCATCCTTTTAGAGGGTCGTTGAGGCCACCTGGAGCTTTGGCTGTGTCCTCAGGGTCACCTGAATGGTGCAAATTGGTGTGGAGCCTTGTTGGAACTGCTGAAAGAATTGTGTTGAAGATAGATGGTGTCATATTATCGAGCTGATAACGTCTTCTTCTTCAAGAGAGAAAAGTGTGCGCCGAGATTGTGGATACGCAACATTTCTTGTTTTCATGCGCTCCTTGTGGTGGTCTTGTTTTTAAGGGAGGCAGGACAGTCGTGTCTGGCTTCCCCTTCAGAAGTGGGCAACTTTGCCTGCCTTTCCTGCTGTCGCTTCTAACTGCTCTAACAAATCATGGCAATTAGCATGCGGTTAGTGCGACCGACGTGCAGCCAAAGCAGGTGGTGCTAATAATTGAAAATAGCATTTAGAGCTTTTACACCCCGGCTGAATATTTCATAATCCGAGGCATGTTTCACCATTTACTCAGTGGGCCTCTGTCACTTCAATCTTCTCTGACTACGGTGACTGGCGCTCGAAAGCTCCACCAAGCCAAGACTGACAGTTTGTCACAGGTCCTCTTGGCCAGGCTCAGCTGCAAAGATTGTCACGCCGCTGTGATGGAATACAGCAAATGTTTTGTGACTAATACACCCACCTTTTGTCATCTAGCATTAGCTGTTCCCATGGTCCTCTCTACTCAGCACCAAGGGCAGTAAATTGGAGGCGCTCTCTGTCTGTGTCCCTTTCTCTTTCTCCCTCCTTCTTTCTCTTTCTTTCTCTCTCCTTCTTGCTCTTTCTCTCTTTCCCTCCCTCCCTCTCTCTCTTTCTCTCTCTCTCTTTCTCCCTCTCCCTCTTTCTCCCCTCTTTCTCCTTTTCTCTCCTTCTCTCTCTTTCTCTCTCTCTCCCTCTTTCTCTTCATCTTTCTCTCTTTCCCCCTTCCCCCACCCTCCCCTCTCTCCTTCTCTTTCTCCCTCTCCTTCTCCTTCTTTCTCTCTTTCCCTCTCTCCCTCCCACTCTCACTTTGTCTCACTTCCTCTCCCTCTCTCTTTTCTCCCTCTCTCTTTCTCTCTGCTTTTCTCTCCTTCTCTCTCTCTCCATCTCCCTCTTTCTCTTTTTATTTTTCTCTCTTTCCCTCCCTCCCTCTCTCCCTCTCCCTCTCTCCCCTCTCTCTTTCTCTCCCTCCCTCCGCCTCTTTCTCTCCCTCCCCCCCTCCTTTAAATAATATTTTCTGGCTGATCACTACTTTTGCAGAGTAATCAGCAATGAAATGTCCATTGTTTTCAGCAGACTTGTAGAAGCAATTTGTCAAATTAAACTGACAAGGCCACAGACAGACCTTCAACTTAGCTAGTCATACTTAGCAGCTTACAATGGAGAACTGAGCCATACATAAATATTAAACTGGTCCCAATTTGATATTTTATCTGCATTAGCACACATCTATTTTTTTTTCTTTTGCAGCCATGTTTCAAATTTAGGGATTCAAACAAATTCAGCACGCTTCACCTCACTTCCTCCTTGTAAGTTGTTTTTCAAAAATGTAGATGGCTCATCCACAGTTTTCATAGGAACATTTCAGAAACTGCTCTGTTTTTTATCCCACTTTTCAACTAAGAAGCTGTGAATTTGATTTTTGTAGAGTGTTTTCACTTCATTCACAATTCTATCCTGGACACCCTTTTTTTTTCTGATCCACAAATATATTGGAAAACTTGGAGAAGTAGAAATGGTAAAGAATGTCTTTCAGAAGGCGGAACGATAGCATTTTTTCCTCAAGGAAAACTTCCCTCTATTCCTAGCAAAATAAGTTGCAAAATAATATATACTGGGTTTCAAAATTCTCTCCATTTTTAT